TTATTATATTTAAGAATCCATATCAAATCCTCAACAATGAATGAGAAAAATTATTCTGTGCATAGGGCGAACACCATTTGAAAACCAACCAGAATGTGTCACGTCTCCCCTTCATTCGATACCACGACTCGGTACTGCGGCTTGGTACTGCTGACGTGGTTTTACCTGATTCGTCTCCGCACAGAATAATCTCTCCAACAATGACATAATAATTCCTTACACACAAAAAAAAATCATCAAAATTCTTAAATTTGTATTGAAATTAGTCTTATATATGATATTAAACACTAATTTTAATGGAAATGTAATTGTTTTATAGTTATCCTGCTGCAAGATACATCAAATATTGTAATAATTTTTCGGAGCATAACTATTGATGTAGGGAAAAGGGCGGTCAAAAAATTTTGGGTTGTAATTTTGGTGAGCTTCTATGTCCTCTACTTAATTCAGCTCCTTAATGTATTTAGGACTACTTTTTTAAGCTCATAAATTGGAGATTAAGTAGGTTCTTCCCCCCCTCTCTATTAAACCTTTGGTTCCCCCACTTGGTTCTTCTTCACGTGGCTAGTTCCTTCCCTCTTTTGGTTGTCTGTTCTGGTTCCCCTTGGCTGTCTGTTCCGGTTCCTTGGGCTGCATGTTTCGGTTCCCTAGGCTGCCTGTTCCGATTCCCTGGGTTGCCTGTCCCGGTTCCCCTGGCTGCTGTTCCTTCCCCCCATTGGCTGCTTTTTCTGGTTTTTTGTGTGGTTGTTCGGGTTCTGTTTCTGAACTGAATGCTACGCCCCTCTGTGGCTCTTTGGGTGCTGTTCTTGGACAGCTCCTTGGCCTTCTATCTTCCCTTGTTTTAATGGTTTATTTGGGGGTATTTTGGGGCTGTTTGGCTGCCTCATTTCCCCTATAAATATTAGATGTTTTTTTGAATAAAAAAGATAGATTGTGTGTTGATTTTTGGAACTAAACCTGTGGGTTTCTTCATGGAAAAGCTTGCGAGCTTATTCCATTCCTCTCTTCTTCTAGGAAAGCTTGCGAGCTTGTCTTCTCCTTCGTCCCGGCTTCTTAACTCTTTCTTCTCTCCGCACGTTTCACTCCACTTGTATCTTTTTTCTCAAAGTGACGAATGAAAGCTCATTTAGATGTTATTTTTATAAAGTCGTGTGTCTTTTATGTTATTAGTTTGTAAGTGTCATTGTAATGTCATTTCAAGTTATCAAAGTAATGTTTTGTTTTACAATAGTTATGTTGTGGTCTCCAATTTGTTGTGGAGACTTAATTTAGTATTTATTTTGTTTATTTTTTCTGACCAAGGGTCTCCCACTTGTTTTGGGACCTTTTGGCTGCATCAACTATTGCTAATATGAGAATGAAAGAGAGAGAAAATGACTTGAATATAATGAATATCTCCGTCACATATATGTTCTATTATTTCTCTCTCTAGTTATATACATTTATGTAATATCATCGGCTCATCGCTTGCACAAATATGAGCAATAGATATAAGTCAAATATGGCATTTATATATTTTTTTCTCATATTAAATTTAGTTAATAATAAACCAATTCAACCATTGCAAATTTTCACATTGGACTCAATAATTAATTATAGTATGAATAGTTCATTTAGTAAAAAAATCTAATTCATATAAAATATATTAGTTCATTTAGTATACATGTACTATGAGGCATATAAAATAAAAAAATATATATTTATAAAATAATGGATAGCAATTTTATATTTTGGGGTTTGTTTTTGCATTTTACATTTGTGGTTCAGGAAAAATAAATTGAATAAGCTTATTATGTATTTGGATATTTACTTTTTATCCTTTTTATGTAAAGCAAAAGGTTAAAAACAACTTTCAAATGCAATTTTTGTATGCCAAAAATTTTTTTGGTTCTCCAATTGCAAACTTAACACAAGTAGAACAACAAATAAATAGACTATTGCTCTTACATTTCATCAACAAAACTAACAAAACAACTAAATAAGTTTGTAAAATTTATGGGGTATGTATATTTTAAAGGCTTCGTTTAGGACAGCTTTCTTCTTGTTTTCTAAAGCAGCTTTCTAATACAGTTTTTTTTAATTCAAAAAATTTGTACTAAAAAGTTGCTTTAGAAAGCAGTGAGAAAGCTTTCCCAATGAAGCCAAAGCCTCTATGAAACAGAAAATACCATAACATATATAAGAACCAAAATTACTTTATGAAAAGCTTTAACCCCTCAATTTCTTTGATAGTTATCAACTTTGACTTCTCATTTGTCTTAAGTTGATTGATATCAACTTGGTTTTAATAGTTATAGATGTTTTGACAAGTGTTAAAATATTTAATTTTATTGCTCTTTTTCACCCATAGCTCCACTTTGTCAAGGTGTGGTGTATGAAGATTGCTTGTTGAAGTTAATCAAGTTGCCTAATGTCAATCTAGTTAGGATAAGGGATAAGATTCTCCATGCACAAAATGTCCTCTCACTCTCATTGTATTTTAAAGTGCTAATTATCATGTTTTTTTGTTTCAAAATTAGATCTAACAATTATTTTAGTTATTGAGATTCTAGAGTTTTGTACTTGCTGACTTTTTTTGGGCCGTTAGAAAATTTAGGTTTTATTTGGGACAAATTTTTTACTATTTTTTAAAACTGTGTTTTAATATATATTTTTTTTTAAATCAAAATTTTTGTACTAAAATTTTTTTTTAGAAAAAAGAAAAGTTGTCCTAAACAAAATCTTAATTGCAAACTTTCACATAAATAGGCACATATTCTTGTAGTTGGATTAGAAGCTCCCAACTACTAAGCCAAGATTGATTATATTGCTTGATTACCTATTTATTGAACTATGATATAAATGATTTATTTATGCATATATGATTAAACTTTATAGATTTATTTTATACATTTTCTATGATTTGTCTCCACAATATAGTACTACATAATGATCTATTTTATGCCTTATATATATATAATGAATAGTAACTAGAGGTATAGATGATATGAGAGAGCCGTCAGTGACAAGTGGTCTTCTTGAAATAATAGTGAGTGGCGCTTATGATCGGAGAGAAGATCATTAAGCAATTAAATATATTATGCATCTGAAAACTAGTGATTGTTTCTCATTGAAGACCACCATGGTGGTCATATTCTTTAAATTAGCAAAGAGGTAAGGCCATTGGTATTACCAGATGGTGGCCTAGCCTTGGAGCACTATTGATAGAGGTTTATTTGAGAAGTGATTGGGAGTGAGGGGGAGAGAGTAAATGTTGAAACTAGAGAGATTTATCTTTTACTTGAGGACTGAAAGAGAAAGGGAGAGTTGGAAAACATGGTATTTATAGACTTAGTGTGCAGAAGTTTTTGTGTTTGACATTTGTTTGTATTATTTTGAAGGGCTTGGATTGTTATGCAAATGAAGATGTTAGCTTATTGCTTTATGGGAAGAGGGATTATGAACTGATGCCACATAGAAGAAGGATGTTGATTGGTCTTCCATTTGGAGGAGTTAAAGAAAGATCATTGTTGGCATTGCGAAGAAAGCATGTTGTCATAGTTTTTTTTTGTAGTATGGAGGTTGATTAGTATATTTAATCATATGCATTAGGGTTATAAAAGCGCTAAGCGGAGCTTGAGTCACAATCAACTCGAGCTCGGCTCATCAATATCTAATGACAGTCTCAAATTGGAGCTTGAGTTCAAATCAGATTCACATATTGAGCTCAAACTTGGCTCATCGGTCTAATGACAAGCTCAAACTTGACTCATGAGGTCGAGGCCACTGGAGAAGTATCACAAGGAAGCCATGAAAAGAGCTTGTTAGAGAAGTTTTCAATGGCAACAAGGAAGTTGTGATGGAGCTTGCTAGAGAAATCAGTGATGTGAGCAATGATGTTTGAGGAAGAGGTAGCGAAATGACCAGTAGCTTTTGAAGAAGAATAAGAAACTATAAGTGGACCAATGATGTTTGATGATGAATAACAAGGAGACGAAGAAGAGAAGTAATAACAAAATCAAAAACATTTGAAGAACATGAAGTCACAACATTTTACAATACCTTAAATCAAGCTTAATGAGAAACATAAAACTTACAAACATGATTTGTTAATTAGCTAATGACTTGCTTGTTCTCAAGCTCGAAATTGAATTCATATTATATATGAGCATTAATACGAGCTCCAACTTGTGCTCATTGTTCGATAAACAACTTTCCTACTCATTAAAAAGCCCCGATCAACCTAACTAGGGGTGTCAATTCGGGTCAACGGGTCGGGTTCGGGTCGAACCCGAAACTGACCCGGCACTGTTCGGGTCAACCCGAACCCGACCCGTTTTTAAAAACGGGTCAGGTTTCTGGACCCGAACCCGACCCGATTCGGGTCCGGGTCAACCCGACCCGACACGAATGACTTGTGCTAGATCAAACATGTTTTATACTAAAGTACTTGTTACATAATTATTTAACATATCTTATATAAATTATTTTACATACTTTATATTTATCTATTCTCAGCGTGAGTTTCGATGTCAAATTATTTTTATTAAAAATATACGTACCGTGACTTTAAGAGGCAGTTAATATTAAACATTTTTAGGATTAAAATTTCTTACTATATTTAATTTGCTTATAGTAATTTTAATTTTAAAAAATAAATAATTATTTTCGACTAATTATTAAATTAATTTAAAACTTTAATTAATATATATTTTTTCCACTATTGTAATAAATCTAGATATTATTAAATACGAAATAATCCTCGTCTTTTCCCCAAATTCTTAAAACCCTCAGACGATCAATAATCAGGAAGCCAGAAATGGATGACGGAAGAGAAGCTCGTCGTGGATTTATTAAATCCACTCAATTTCAGGGTTTCCAAAATCCTGGAGAAGCGGGATTTGAGATTCTGTAAGATTTAAAATTGCGGTTTGTACGAATTTAATATAAATCCTGCTACCAAACAGCCCCTAAGTCTTCCAACATCCCAATCGCAGGAGCAATGGCAATATTTCAATTCATTTCAAATGCTCAGCAACAGCAGCAACTTAAGATTAGTCTTCGCGTGTTCCATTATTATAAAAAAAAATTATGGAGAAGTTGTTAAAATGTTACAACAGATTGGGATTACGAAGAGTCGAAGATTGTAATTTACAATCGCAACGCAAAAAGTTCGTAACAAATGTCTTCTGACGGCAACGATGATACGCAGCTTAGGGCACAACAGAACCAAATCCCTCCGTCCGTTACGCATCGGACGGCTACGAATCCAGCTTGATGTCCCATCATAATCCTCCGCCAACAGAAACGAAATTAACCTGGCGGGGATCAGATGCAAGAGAAGGACGGCAAGCAATCGTACTCAGCCAGCGAGAGATGGAGAAAGAGAGAGGCGAGGAATACTGAAGCATCAAAGCTATCGGACCATAGAAGAGAAATTTCTTACGGCTGCGAAACGACGCAGAATAGATCGTTACAGGTTCAGATCCATCGGATCGCTTACGCAACGGACGGATGTAAAACCGGTCAAAATGTATCGTCCGCTTTCTACCAACACTGATCCGTCTCCCAGGTGCGACGAGGTGCGCGACCGGAGAAACGATAGCTCCGCGGCGGGAGCCGGCGCAGAGCGATGAGCTCGCGATCGTATTCGGCCCGCTTCGTTGGATCCGAAAGCGTCGAGTACGCCGCGTGGATAATCATGAACTCGTCGGCCGACGCGCCAGAGCGCACATCAGGGTGGCACGTGCGAGCCAGGATCCGGTACGCGGCCTTGATTTCTCGGATATTGGCTTTCTCCTCCAAGCCGAGGACGTCGTAGAGAGAAATCGGCGGTGGGTGGGCGGTGGAAGCCCTTTGCGGCGCGGAGGCGGCAGCGATCGTCGGAGATCGTAGCGGGAGACGAGTAGGAGGAGGGGAGGGGCGAGGGACGGCGTTCCGGCGGCCGAGGAAGTGGGGGCGTGGGAGGGAGAAGTTGGGAGAAGCGATCATATGGAATTCGTTGGCTGAGTTGCTAATTATTGGTGCAGAGTTGGGGTCGGAACACAGCACATTAATATAGAGAGGAAATATTCTTCTTTACACCCGAAACTATAGAATATTTTCATATTACCACCTAAGGTAAATTTGCAAAAAAAGAATTCCACAAATGTGTAAATATAGCAATATAGCATATTTGCAAGAAAGCCCGCAAAAGGAAAACTGATTTATTGTTAAAAGTGATTTTTTTTTTTTTTAATTTTAAAATGATGGTTTAATTTGTTTCTCTAATTAATATGCATCATATTAATAATTATTTGAGAAGCCTATTTTTTAAAATTAAATAATAAATAAAATAGTATCAACATCCTAAATAAAATTCATGTATTTTATTTAAGCATTTTAATATAATTTTCTTAAATGCTTAATCTTATAATATAATTTTTTGGAGAAAATAAATTCAATTTAGTCTAAAGTGGAGATCCATTAAATTGGAGAATGATGGTTTTGCAATCAATTAAATTTTCTTTTGAGATGTATATATATTTTAAACTTTAATTAATTTATTATAGTTTATATTCATTTTAAAATAAATTTAATAATTTTGGAATTCATTTAGATTTAAAATTTAATATGTACATAATTAATTCTTTTAGTTAACTTTTTTCTGCATCATATTTATTTTTCAACTCTATCATTTTTAAAAAATAATGGTCATGTGATTTTTAAGGAATCTAAATTCCTTTTAATAGCCAAATCATCTAGAATTTTCTAATATTAGTTCAACTTTATTTATATGCTTAAATATAATATTTCTTATGATGACCAGTCTGACTAAAACATATAAATAAAGAATTAGACAATGAGTGAACATAACATATTGAATCATTTACTCAAGTCTTACACTTTTAGGCAATTTTGTAAAGTCATAGAGCTTCTCATTATGTATTATGTTTCTTTTTGTCACTTTCATTTATTATCTTCTTTCTTAGCCATTTTTGTTAGTAATGCTTTTTTTGTTGCCCTTAGGCAAATATGAATCTAACATCCTGAATGATGTCATGAGTGTGGACAAATGCCAAGGAATAAAATCTAAGCTTTTGGAAAGACAAGAAGATAGGGAGATGCATGTTGAAATGAAAAATTAAGATTTCATGTTGAGAAGATAGCATAGTCAAATGGAGGAAATAGTAATAATAATAATTCAAGGAGTCTTGGAGTGACTTCCGAGATCCACTCTACATGCAGAAGTTCCTAGCTAAAGATGGATAATATAATTTTATCATCCAATAACAAACACCTATTATGAGAACAATGTCTTTAGCTCCCGTAATGGATGAGACTTACTTCCAAGAATGTTGTTTAGAAAGAACTTCACCTTGAAGTGCAATAAAGTGTGGGTCGCAACTAATAAATGTATTTTTCAGAGAGATTACTGAAGCACAAGCTTCCATAAAGTTCTAAATCTCACACTTTAATTCATATAAGAGGGAAGTTGGATCCGATCGAATATGTTGCTTAATTTGAGTTAACAACCTCACTAATGAGTATTAATGATACTATAAGATATTTTTTATTATTTACAACCCTCAAAGAATCACCACTTAGATTATTCTCCAATCTTATGCATGAAAGTTTCCCTTTATTCATTAAAAAAAAAAATTGTCACCTAATTGTAAGTGCCCATAAGCCTCTAAAGAGTTATTGAGCTTTATTGAATACAAGGCAAGAGCTAGGCAAGTCATTGAGAATTTTGTTTTAAGATTTTAGTAGAGATGTTAGAACTGAAGGATTTGGAAGTATCCATGGCAAGCGATGCACTCACTTATGGTATAAAAGAGAAACCATTCAAATATGCACTAAGACTATAACCAAGGACTCACCAATAGACATCATATAAGTGTGAAGGATTATAAGGATGTATCAGTTATATCAACCTCTATTTGGCTAAGAGACTCTAGTCCAATAGGTAAATTTTAACTATTTTTCAAGGAACACTGACCGGCGAGATCTCTTTAAAAAGATGTTATCAAAGAAGCCATATTATAAACATTTGTATCAACAACATCAACATTACTACATCACCATCAACCATAACATCAAGAATATCATCTTGAGAGGTGAGAGCAAAATGTGATAAATTTTAAAGCTATAAGAGGAAAGATATCTCTTTCACCTATCCATCATCCCATATTCAGTGCTATGAGAGTCCCGATCGATGACTGAATTTTTGGAATTATAAGAGATGAATAGAATTTTTGTTAGCCAACACTAATGTATTGGGGATCATGGGATCATGACCATGATCCCTCAAAATGTTATGCTTTATATAATAACCATGTGCTTGAAACTAAGGACTATCATCACCTCTAATGTTTGATTGAAGAACTAATTAAGATTGGGAGGATAAATAAATTTACCTTGACTAAGTTTGGAAAGAGGTGGCAAAACACTCATATAATAGTCATGAAATCAGCTAGTCCTAGCTCAAGTAATTCATATGTATAAGGCAGTCCCAAAAATCCTAGGGAGAGCAAGAGTAGAAGCATATATTAGGCAAGCCTCAAATGACTTTGGTCAGAAGAGGCGGCCTTGGCCATCATATCTAATGTTCTTATTATAAAGATCATATATATCACATTTTTCAGAGTTGACAAGCCAATGAATAACAACCCTTACAATGAACTAATGAAGAAGTCATTGTCACTTCTTTGATCTCCAATTTCCAAATTAGCAGCATGCACATACAAATTAGAAGTTCTATCATTACATATTTTTGAAAAGCTAATTGTTGATTTTTGTATTCTAACAATAATTATTGAACTTCTTATTTGATTTATCTGGTGAGAGTAGAGAAACTGAAATAATAATTGTGCTGTCAATCATATTTGGAGAATGAAAGAGATAATATTATGACGTCCAACTTCATTAAAATACATAAAATCTTACTAACTTTTTGCATTGTTTTCCAAGATAGATGACTTTCTCATGGAACATATTTATTTGCCCTTTTTTTTCTAAGTTTTAACCAATAATTGAACATTAAAGTCATTTTTTAATTTTCAACCCTATTTTTTAAAAAATTAAGTTAATCATGCATTTTGATGTGACAAAGATTTTATTTATTATTTATTTTTAAAAATTAAGCTTCACAAATAATTATTAATATGATGCATATTAATTAGAGAAACAAATTAAACCATCATTTAAAATAAACAAAATATATTTTTAACCATAAACCCCTTAAATTTATTATATATTAAACTATTTGGACTAATTATCTCTCTTAGCTTAGGAAATAAAAGAAAATATGAATATGTAATTATAGATAATTATTCTAAGTTCATTTGATTTTATTTTTGATTAAAAAATCTATGCACTATAAAAATTTATGAAATTTATAATCATAAATCAATTGGATGATTGGCTTTGCATGAGAAATAAAAATTATTATATACAAAAATTTAAAAAAATTGTTTTTTTTTTTTCATGAGCATTATTCAGTGTCGCACTATTTTTAAAAATTTAAAATTTAACTAAATAATCAAAAAAACATTTATACTAATTTGATAATTTTTAAAAGGGAAAAACTATAAAAAGTAAATTGTCATAGATGTAAATGAAAAATACCAATGGATTGGGTCGAATGGTTTAGCCTTATCGCCCATGTCGGGGGCTGAGTCAGCGACGTCTCTGCAATTGGAAAATGGATACCATAGATTTATTCTGACAATTAGTTATTTTTTTAATTGACGAAGACTTCTATTCATTATTATATTTATTTATTTTTTTTATTTGTTAAAATAACGAATGAACCGGATCCAGCCGGTTCGATGGAATCAACCAAACCGGTGTAACCCGGCCCGGTTCTGTTTTATAAATGATTCGAACCGTTTGTAAATAAAGGTATAGAAACCGAGCGCTTTTTTTATTTTTTTAGCAACTGAGCTCTTCTTTTGACTCTATTATTTATGGATTTAGGTTGGAGCTTGAGTGATATAGAATTGGCTGTATGTATGGAATTTTTATTAGGTCCGGACACCTGATGTAGCTCTACATCCGAACGTCAATATAATGTCGCCACGTACTCTTACTCTTTACCGCACGGCCTGACAACCTGACCCGGAACGGAAACCCGGTATTGCTATGTTCGTGTATTGCTAGGTATTGCTCGGTATTGCTAGGTATTGCTTGACAATAACGAGAAATACTACTCTGTCAAGACCAATACCGAGCAATACCTAGCAAAACCGGGGTATTGCTAGGTATTGGTCTTGACAGAATGGTATTTCTCGTTACCGAGCAATACCGAGCAAAACCTAGCAATACACTGGTCTGTACAAATCAGCTAATACATAACAATATTGGGTTCTAGTCTGGGTCGGGTCGTCAGGCCGAGCGGTAAAGAGCACGTGGCGACATTTTATTGGCGTCCGAATGTAGAGATACGTCAGGTGTCCGGACCTAATAAAAATTCATATATATGACTATATAGAAAATAAGAGAAAAATATAATAGTCGTACAAGCCTAGTTAGAATGTCAGACTTGATAAAGTTGTTCACCAAGCTCATAAGACATCGACGGTTCTGCTATATTATTGGACAAAAAACCGAATAGTAATGAAGGATGTCGTCCACTTGAGTGGTCGCACTGGGTTGTTTTTATAAGCCATATTCATTAGGCCAACTTGATAGGCCTTACTCGTCTGTTTGGCACGACTTCGTAGGTAGTAGCATCCTGTTTGAGGGAAGTTCATTTGCATACTTGTGTTCCTTTTGGGTTGGTACCGAGAAGACTAAGGCTTCGTTTGTGATGACTTTTTCATTGCTTCTTAAAACAGAGTTTTAGTATAAAAGTTTTAATTTTTGTACTAAATATTTGTTTTAAGAAGCAATAAAAAGTTGTCCCATTGTTTGGGATAGCTTTTTTGTTGCTTTCTAAAATAACTTTTTAGTATAAAAATTTATTGAAATTAGAACATTTTATACTAGAAAATCATTTTAGGAAACAGTACGAAAGCTGTCCCAAACAACAAAGCCTAAGTTGCTTT